GTCGGCTCGACCGGGGAAGGACCACGCTCTCGCAGAATACCAGCGTAAAATAACAGCTTAATGCTGCTGTTTTTCGTATGGTGAGTGTAGAGAACCGGTGACCCATTTTACTGGAAAAGAGGCATTCTATCTTAGTCCTCACGGCTGACAACGCATCTACATTTTAATTCGCAAACGAAGATAGATGTAGAAGTCTATGGGCCACAGCAACCACTTACCATCAGATGGACTGCGTGGTCGTTTGTCACTCTAATTCTATAAAAAAAAATGATTTTTAAATTTATTCAAAAATCTTTTAGATAATAAAACACGATCATTGAAAAAATACTTTCGATATTACGCCCTTAAAGTAACTTCACTACACTTCACTAGAGTGTATCAAAGTCCACTGCTGAACATAAGACTCCAGATAGATTGCTCCATAAAGGGGATAATTGCCATAGTTGCCATGCTTGGCAGGCGGGTTGGCAACTGAAGACGCTGCAGCCCATCTCTTTGTTTGTTTCCTTCTATCGCCTCTTACGACATCCACTGGGCGATATGGGGTAAAAGATATTCTTACACCGCCACTACACGGTGATGGTATTCACATAACAGCAATAATTAATTTATTATATAATTAATACGTTGTATTAATAATTTATCACAAAAATAATTTTTAATCATATGTTTTCCCAATTTTTTTATAGCATATGGGTAACAAAAGAGCACACAGTTCACCTAATGGTAAGTGGTTGCTGTAGCCCATAAACATCTACATCTATCCTCGATTACGAATCAAAATACAGATGCGTCGTCACCCGTAAGGACTAAGATGGAATGGCTTGTTTCCAGTAATAAGGATTTCCGGTCCTCTATAAATTCTAACTATCTAACTCTCATACGAAACACAGAAGCGTTATGCTGCTATTTTACGCTGGTTTTCTGTGAGAGCGTGGTCCTTCCCTAGTCGAGTTGACACATTCGTGCTACAACTATTCCACTAAAATAGCTGCAGCATGGCTCTACCACAAAAAAAAAACTTAAAACAAGTGCTCTAAATTCATGTTTTAGCCACGAACCAGTAGTCCATATAACGTCACGGTTATGTTGTGTCACGGGTGGGACAGTTACAGAGAGCCAATATGAATACAGGGAATGAAGCATTTCATTTTAGTAACAGACTTGCGATCTCGATTGTCACCGGACAGTTATGAGAAAATCATGTATAAAATTAGTGAATACACATCCATTTCTAACACTTATATAGTTATGACCCAAGTTATTAATATGACATTATTCACAATGCCCGGGCAATATGAATAATGTGAGTAGGCAAGTGATACGAGTATATAAAAACTATTGAAATAATCAATTGCTTATTGGGCAGAATAATAAAAAAATAAGTTAGGATATTTTTTTTAATGTCAGATATTTAACACTTAAATACAATGGGAATAAAGTTTTTTTCATCAAAGGTATTTTTTCTTAGAAACGTAAAAGAAGGAATATCCCATTGCTGCTATTTGATACTGCAAAGTGGTGTTTCCCTTCTGTCTTATTTTTAATTTTTATAATTTCAGATTTGGTACAGTATTAACTTATTGTTTTAAAAGTAATTAACATGGTTAAGTTAGGTCAAGTTGGGTTAGTTTCTATCAAATTGCCTAATAATGACCAGAAAATGTGTATATTATTTATAACATTGTTTAGTCATTATTTAAATAATTAAGTTTAAATCAGTATTAATTATATGGGCCGATTTAACTTGTAATTATTCATATTGCCCGGCCATTATAAATAGTGCCCCGATTAAATTACTTTCACTTGGTCCATAACATATACACTGCAGTGAGGCTACATTCAAGACACGAACCAAAAACAAAGTTCATGACTGAAAGTAAGTATATCCACTTTGCTACCGCGCCCATATTCGTTTATTGCTTATTGAAGTTTCATTACTTCAAAAATTGATATAAGATCTACTAGATTATCAGTTCAAGCCTTTTAGTCAATAGTACTTACTACTTTTATCGGATCGATTGATACCGGACCGTAAAATTTTGTGCACCATACTAAGTCTGTCTATGATACTGGCTAGGTACTTAGTATGCAAATTCGCCGACGTCTGTGACACGCAGTAGCAGGCCAGAAGTGGTCCGTAGCCTCTGATAATCTGTAAATAATCTGAAAAACTATACCTAAATTGCATAACCAGGAACGTGAGATAGCGTCTAAAGAGCAACTTGGCGATCTCTTTTCGGTATGGGCATCTTTAATATTGGACTTAAATTTAGTTACTTATAGTAGCTGCGGTCGATTTTGTACATTGATTTAGAAGTCCTTCTTTTTTTACAAGCTTAATAATAAATCTGCTGGATACCTATACATGAAGGCATACAAACTGGAAAGGTTTGCAAATATTTATAGATGATGATAACCCACGAGTATGAGGTGTTCGCTACCAAGCTATTTCTAATTTGTTTTGTGTTGTTCATATGTTATTACAATCATACCTATACAGGTATGATTGTAATAACATATATAATTGTAAGATCCATTTGAAAAAGTCTTGCTAAACAAGAAAGCTCGATATTTGGGTACCACACTAGCTCGCTGAAAGAAACCTAATGAATCGTGTACTCATTTGCGAATCTCTATTGAAACTATATCTAATGATCACTGGTGATGAAAAGTGGATCACCTACAACAAGAACGTGCGACGCACGTGCGTGCATGGTCAATGTGTAAAGCTTCACAGACCGTAGCGAAGTCCGTATTAACACGCAATAAGGTGATGCTGTATGTACAGTGGGATTGGAAGGGCATCGTTTATTATGAGCTTTTACCGTCGGACAAAACCATCCATTCGGATCTCTACTGCGAAAATTAATGAGACTCGAGTAAGTCGAGAAAAAACGGCCAAAATTGATCAACAGAAAAGGCGTTGCCGTTCATCATGATAACGCGAGACAACACCTGAGCAAAAAATTGAGAGCTTGGTTGGGAAGTGTTAATGTATCCACCCCATAGTCTTGAACCTTGCACCCTCAGATTTTCACCTGTTTCGGTCTCTTCACAATTCTTTGAGTAGAGTTAGTTTAACATCAAGAGAGGATTGTCAAATTGATTATGTCACCACCTACAAGATGGCAAAAAGTTATGGAACAAAATGTAAAGTTGCAGTCTATTTACGTCCCACTGCCGGGCACAGGCCTCCTCTCATTTTTGAGAGGGTTTTAAGGCAAGGAAGTGTCCGCCGCGCTGCCCCAATGTGTGTTAACGAACTTCACATGTCTTCCTGCCGCCTTCACCGCCGAGCACGTGGTAAATCAGCATTTAAAATTGCAATTAACAATTTCATTGGTGCCGACGGGGATCGAACCGGGGATCGAACTCGAGTACTGTAAAAGCTTACAGCGAACGCTAATTATCTGAGCTACCACGGCTCATATAATATTATAATTAAATGTAAACTTTGAAAAAAAAATGTCTTCAATTTGTATATAAAATACGAAGAAACTTTTTCGCCAACCAATAGGTAAAGATAGGAGCAACTTGTAATAAAACAAAAAGTATATATTTAGTAATTTAATAAAATTTTCTCAATATAAGAATATGTCCGATTCCATCTATATAATACAAAGCATTACAAAAAGGGATAATACCTAGATAAAACACAACCTTCTGTATCATCAATACGGACTCCCGTCTCAGTTTTCGTTATCTATTGACGCGTTGCAATGCCTGCCCTAAATCATAATTATAATACAATATACGATCCCGAAGACATTATGTTTTTGATATTAACTTATCACTTTTGTTAACACTTTATTAATTGAAATCATCTTTTAATAATTTAAAAAAAATATATTGAGGCGTTATGACGGAACTGAATTAAGTATTTTTTTTTATAATTTAAAGTGACAATCAAGCTTATAATTCACCTGGTGTACTAATGTCGAAGAATATCAGTATCCAATTTAAAAAAAGAAGTGTTGCCTTCTTGCTTTGTAGTCGTCACCCTTCAGGACTAAAATGAAATCTCAGTCTATATTTGTTTTCCTAAATGACTGACTGAACACGTACCGAGGTCATATTGCCATACTAATGCCAAACTGCATAATCATGATAACCGAAACACAAATAGTTAGGTCTCCTTAAACTTGTATTGAACAGCAATGACTTGTAAACTCTCCACTGGAACACATAACTGGCACATTATAACTGTTATTTGAGGAACTATTAGACTTTGTCGGTATGGTCTCCAAACCTTAGAATTTCCTCTTTGCATACTTAAGAAAACAAAATAATGAAATAGCATTCGAAAACCTCTGTGCGAATGTAGGGCTTTCCGACTTTTGCCTTTATAAAAAATGTGCAAAAGGCACTAGCGTCCAGCATCATCTAAAATAGCATTAAACACATGCATATATTTTAGGGGCTACATTAAAAGCACGTCGTATAGACTAAACCATTAAAGGTGCACCAATGAGATCGTGTATTGCACTTTATAAAACAGCTATTATTTGCGACGTTATTTATTTACAATTCTCATTCCAAATGTGTAATAATTCATCTATCAATCTCGAATATTTACAAACAATGAAATATATTTAAGCATTTCAAGCGTCCTAGTGAAGAGACGTGGTGTTTCCGAGTCCCAAAGATAAAGATAACAGAGGTTGGAAAACGAGTCATTTGCTATAAATAAATTAATTGTAAATGGGCTATATACAATGTATCGCAAAGTACTGACTACTTTGTAGGTAATTAAACCAATTTGTTCCGTTATCGATAAAATATACGGGATAAAAATGGATACAACGAAAGAAAGAATTATATTCAAATAATGATTTTTCTATGAATGTTGAACAGTGTCAAGGTGAGATTCTATCATACAACGGAAGATTTACTAGATGGATCAGACACGGGGTGACGTTTTCAGCGAAATATTTTCGCACCTACAATTACAAGGACGAGAGCTTTATTTTAAACCGAAGGAGACAATGCGAGGTCGGTTACAGAATTTGGAAAAGTTTTTTGAGTTCAACCATAAGCTGCCAGTCGGTCTTGATGAGGTCGTCTCGGAAATAGTCCTTGCAGGCGTCAATACTTGCGCGCGATATCTGAAACAATGAAAGAAACATTAAAGTGACAATTTACATAATCTTATTTATGCAATTCTATCAGTAAGAAGAACTGTGAAAGTACGTATGCGTTTACATTTGTGGGCATTCCACTTTTTATTAATAACTAAATATCCTTAACAACTTTTCATTAAACGATGGGAACATCTGATACTACATAAAAACTGTTTCTAAAATTTGGCAATAAAAAAAAATTCAAAAGTTTGAGCACTATATACTACGACGATGATTGATCAATGCTGTTTAACTTAACATTTGTGAATCCAGAAAAATGTCTTCTTAATCTTTATCTTTATCTTTATATATAAAAACTAGCTATTCCTCGCGACTTCGCCCGCGTGTAATTTAGGGTTTTAATTTCGTTGCGCGGAACGCTAATTATTTTTCAAAAATACAATTAGCCTTAGTTACTCCTTATAACATGAGCTATCTACCAGTGAAAGTCCCATCAAAAATAGGTCCAGCCGTTTCGGAGATTAGCCGGAACAAACAGACAGACATACAGACAGACAGACAAAAATTTTAAAAATTGTGTTTCTGTTATAGGTGTATGCAATTAGTAAAAAGCTGTTACTTTGACATTACAAACAGACATTTCAATTTTATTTATTTGTATAGATTACGTGTCACATTGTTTGTTCGCGATGAACACTACTGAACTGATTTCAATGAAATTTTGCACACTCTGTGCAGTTTGGTCCAACTTGAGAGATAGGATAGTTTTTATCCCGATAAGTGACCCTCAATTTTTTTTATTGCTAATCTCAGGAGTTTTTTTTAGGAAAGCAAATGGTCGTCGGAAAGTGCAGAACAACGTCTGCCTGGTCAGCTAGTACAAATATAATATTCCGGATTCTAGTGCGTGTGTTCGTAATTCCACTCTTCCTAAGCAACTTGATCGATTTTGATGAAATCTTTATGAGGTAAGGTTTTATTATAAATATCAATATCTGAATTGTCATCAATGTAAACAAAATGTCATCGCCAGTTCTACTTAATCACATATATTAAATCATTGAAAACCCTATACTTATATTCAATTACTATAAAAGTTAAATTTAATAAAGTATTATTATAATAAATTCTATATTAACTTATCAGATTTGATAAGTTAATTTCGTGTCGAACGTGACTGGTTCTATAAATATCTCGAGATGAATGTACACGGGTTTCATTGAGCTCGACCTAGTTGGGAAAGCATCGATTCAGCACCTTGGGGTGAATGGTATGACGTAATAGGGAAGTAGAGTAGGTTGTGCAAGCCAAGAAGTGGGTCATCCCCTCCCCCCATGCCCCGGTGCCCTACCGCACTGCAGCCGCTTCCTGACTTGTCTGGGGCTCATCGCCAACGCGGCGAATCCAACACACGAAAACACGAAAATTTAACTTTCAATTTTAGCGTCAAGGATGCGTTAGAGCCGGACGCGGAACTCAATATATTTTATAATCGTCGACTAAAATTAAGTCGCTGCAATTGTATAATAGGATATTTCCTCAAACTTAAGGCGTTTGTTTAGTTTTTTATTACTAATATTTTCTCCTCCTTATTTTAAAGTTTTATAAAAAGGAAGGAAATAACACCCATAATCCATAATGTAGATAGTTCAAACTGATACAAATAATATATAGTTTCCTTTATAAATACTACCCTATTTAAAAATGTATGTTAAGGGAAGTCTGTTTTGTAATCATGTAATGCATGCTCTTGCCATCAGGTGCAAATGTGTGTTCGTTTATCATCCTTAATTCAATTTAAAACATGCCAGTGGTCTGTGAGCTTATGTCCCATAGTGCGAGTTACTAGTAACAAAGAGTAAAATAAAAAAAAACTAGTACAACCGACTTCAATATAAATAAAATGAGAACATCATCAATCTAGTCGAAGTCAATTAAATACGCATTATTAAGGATTACTCAACTACAACAACAAAGCAACAGCTTTTAAACAATAAAAACAATCATCAAAATCGGTTCACCTAGAAAAAAGTCAGACTTCATAAAAGGAACCTCCTCCTTTTATGAAGTCGGTTAAAAATAACAAGGTTTAACAAAAGATTGTTAGTAGTCTTTAAAAAAAGTGGGATGTGGGAAGTAGACTGTGTAAGAAATAAGAACCTGCGAAGGAGGCGGACTTATAGCCGAAATAAGAACTTTTTGCCGCTATTCAACAATGACTCTACATGATTGGCTATTCAAACTGACAATGCCTAAAGTTCGAGCCCCCCCCCCTCAATTTTTTGGTTTTTGACCATCTTGACCCCCTAGGAGTCTAATGAGAACTTTTTGCCCCTATTCAATCATGATCCCCATGACATCCTCTACATGATAGGCTATTTAAATGATTTATGTATGTTCCAAATAAATTTGCGCCATGTGAATAAAAATGGTACGGTATTTCTTAAATTGCAAATTACATAGATACATAACTATCTTACAGTTCGCATATGAGTAAACTTTTATGTCAACGTGTAAACACACTTGCATAATGACGTAGTTTTCATCAATGAAACAGCGGCGCGAAATATCAATGGAGCTTCTAGAATGAGATCAGGAGGTCTACTCTAATTCAACGAAAAACGAAATTTCGATCGAAATTTCGCTCAATTCCTACCATGGTTCCATTCGATTCGAAACTTCGTTGAAACGAAATTAGTTTGACGTTTAAATTCTCTAAGCCTACTCTATTGCACTAAAGTTACGAACGAAAATTGAAGTTTGACAGATACTTGTTCGTAATTTTAACCTCAAATTGACGAAACCAAAAGTGTTAACTTTTTATTTTCGTTTTGGTCGATTTTGTTCAAAATTTAACTAAAATGGCTACGAGACAGCTTTTAATCGCGGCTGCTTTACGTGAAGAACGATTGGAGCGTAGAAGGAACCGGCGCCGCCTGCGTAATCAATTAAATATTTCAAATATTCCCGATCTAGAGTTTGTCGGAAATTACAGACTCAGTCGGGAATTATTCGAGGAGTTGTGCCAGGACATAGTGCCTTTATTGCCTCCAAAGGGAAGACGACATGGAATCGAGCCCACACTTAAAGTAAGTTTAAATTGTTTAAACACTCCCTTCTCTTTAATTTTTCATTTTACTGTTCATAAGCCTCAATCTGTGTTAATGTATTTCAGATACTTACTGCTTTGAACTTTTATGCCCGAGGAAGTTACCAGGGGTCAGTGGGACAAAATATGGATGGGCCCATGGCACAACAGACAGTGTCCCGTTGTTTACAAGAGGTAACAACTGCACTTAATGCACCCCACATACTAAGGAAGCACATAAGATTCCCACAAAATAGGAATGAAAGGAATCTTATTAAGCAGAAGTAAGTACTTACCTTCCTATCTAGTATTGACCGTTAAACTTATTAACATGTGAAATACCTAGTAATTAAAATATTATTCTGTTATTTTAAATGAACAATTTACATAAAAAGTGTGCCAAGACTAGGCAAATAAGTCATGCAAAAACAAATATAATTTTATTGTACAATTTACTATTCTATAATAATATTGTATCCTTATTGTAGATTTTATGATAAATATGGGCTACCCGCTGTGGTGGGGTGCATCGATTGTTCACATATAGCCATAGTGAGGCCTTCGGAGCACGAGGAACGATATTTTAATCGAAAACATTTTCATTCGATTAATACTCAAGTTGTAAGTTTATGTACAATATTTTAATGTTTTTATTATGACATTCACTATTTTATTACTTACATTTTATCCTATGTTACATTGATGGAAATTCTTTTTCAGATATGTGACAGTGATTTATTAATTACAAATGTTGATGCTTCATATGGTGGAGCAACTCACGACGCTTATATTTGGAGGGAATGTGAGATAAGAAACCACTTGGAGGGTCTCCAGGATGAAACAGTTTATCTATTAGGCATGTCTTGATTTATAGTTTTGATATTCATTATGTGTAAGTAATGTGATGATGCAATTTACACTAATATTATATTTTTAAATTTTTAGGTGATTCTGGTTATGCTCTAAGGGAGCATATGATGACACCTGTAGATAATGCTGTTGAGAACTCTCCAGAGGGAAGGTACAATTACCTCCAAAAACGTGTACGCTGCACCATAGAACGCACATTTGGTGTATTGAAGGGTCGATGGAGATGTCTTTTGGCAGCTAGGGAACTCCATTACTGCCCAGAAACAGCAGGTAAAATTATATTAGCCTGCTGTGTTTTACACAACATGTGTATAAGGGCTGGTATTGAAGGTCCCGAGTTGACTGAAGAGGAACACCAATCGGAGAGAACCAGGCAGGTTCCCTTTGAAACAGCCGCATCTTCTACTCAAGCTCTACAGGCAGGTCGAAGGGCAAGGAATTCATTAATACAAATGTTAGAAAGGAACCGGTAAGATAAACTCAAACCAAACAATTGTGCAAGTAGATTAAAATAAACTCAATTAAAAACTTTTTTTTGTTTTAGGAGATAATCATCATCATCATCATATCAGCCACATTTAAGCCGTTTATTTGTGATTAAGTAACAATCAAAATCCATACTTTCTCATTTATAATATTATAGGATTAGGAATTAATATTACTGAAATGTATGGCACTCACTTCTTACCTAAAACATACACTTCTTATCTTGTTATAATTGTAAGCAATGCATTTTTTTTAATGTTAACTTTTATGTCTAATGAATTTAGTTAATATTGCATATTGTACAACATTATCTATTTAGGTATGAATTTTCGAGTAGGTACCTAGTAGACAGTGATTTCTCAACTAGTTGAAAGTTATTTGCTCTTACCTTTCCGATGTGTAGATAATTAATTTCAATACCTGCCCATTGTATGTAAACTTTTGTTAATTTTTGTGATGTAAAATTACATTACCTTAAAGGTCATTTTACAAATTTGATGACTCTGTATGAAATATACAAGGAGAAAAAAATCAGCCCTTAAAGAGTTTCTTGCCGGTTCTTCTCGTTACAAGGTCTCCCGCTTAGGGTTTGAGAACCGATGGCGTAGCTTCTTTGACATTCACAAGTGCTTGTAACAGCCTAGATTAAAATATTTTTAGGCATAAAATTAGTTCTGTTTTATTTTTTCACCTACTTATCGTTATCCTACCTACCTAGATGTTCATAAAATGGCAACAAATATTTACTTAATCCTTACCTATGACATTGCAGATATTTTGTCACATACAGAGAAAATAATAACTTCTATGATTTTAAATACTTAACAGTATCTTTATATTATATCGAATTATGGTCATGATAATCAACTCTCAGTAATAATAAAGTTCTTATTTTAGCTTTCTTAATCTGAAAGTACAAATAGTCTCAAAAATAGTAAAAAGAAACAATAGTATTCAAAAATAAATTTATTTAAAACCTAACGCCTATTTTGCCTTAAAAACTCTAAATAATCACGCCCTATGTCACGCAACTCTTCCAAGGCAGCCCTGATGCCTGCGAGCTCGGTGTTCCTCACTGTCTCTCTCTCTGCACGTCCATCTTCATACTGGTACAACCTGCTTCTGACATCGGAGCCAGCAGCAGATCGTATTCTTCTGGGACGTGCAGATTGTGAGGCTGCAAAACAACATTCCAATATGTTACATTGCAGTAAATACTTAATCAATAAGTATATTTTTTGTGACAAACAATATTTTTCTTGTAATTTTAATCTCGACTGTAGTTTAGTGGTAAGACCTTCATGTATCAAATACATCCATACATACCTTCTTGTGTATCAATTTCGATCGAAATTTCGTTTTTCCTTGAATTAGAGTAGACCTGCTGGCTTTCTTTGCTTGGGTCGGCGTACTCCTCAACTTCTACATGCAAGTCCAGGCTCTGCTGCTGCAGTTGGCTTCCTTGACTGTAGGTTGATGGTCTGGATTCATTCGTCTGAAATGAATATAAAAGATTGAATGCTTAATGTTTAAGTGAAGTATTAATTTTTAATGTCTACCACAATACAAATTGTATTGTATTTTTACCTGATGGGTTAAAAAAAGTAGCATACTCACATAGAAAAATAATTTTGTAAATAAAAATCATATATCATTAAGATAAATATTTGAACATATCAAAGTTAAGAAATAGGGAAACCAAAGAATGATGAGGTACTTACTTCAGTGAAAGCTGGCACTCTGGCTCCAATTTGGCGGTCACCGAACCCATCTCCCATTATGGATAAGACTTTTAATTCCGAATGGGAGAGTTGGGGTGCCACTGATGGACCACCTCCAGTCATTGAAGCCGACCTCCGGGAATCAGCAGCGGCTTTTTTGGCCAGATGTTTTCTATCAAACCATACCTATCCAAAATAAAAGTAAATATTAAATCTTTGTCACTCACTTTTCACTGATAAATAGCTTAAGCATTTAATTATATTACTACGAATTACCTTTTGCCACTGCTGAACTGTCTTTGTGCAACCGCCCATGGAATTGAGTGTATTGCACAATTCATCCCACAGCCTCTTCGCCTGGACTTTTCCTTCTAGACTCCTCAATCTCCCGCGAGCAAGATCCCTATGCTCGTCCAGGAAATTGAGGAGTGCATCAATTTGTTCAGGAGTAGCCGAACCCGTATGTGGAGCCATTATTTTACACTGAAAGATAAGATGAAAATAAATTATAGGTACCTATTATTACAAAAAAATATGTTATGGAAGTATTATAAGTGCAAAACAATTAACATTACTTACACTCTTTCTGAATATAAAACCAAATTAAACCAAATAGAAGTCTTTGTGGACCAAAGGACGCCCATATGAAGACTGCGACTTGAAATTGAAACTTTGTCAGGGAATGTGTATCGCGTTTGCAAAGTAGGCAAAGAAAAAAACAAAACATATTAATAACTCTTCACTTGAGCACACAGGAAAGAATCTCTACCTACGTCTTACACTTGAGCTTGAGAAACAAACTTAAAACTATTCAAACTTTCAAAGAATGCAAACAAAAAATCCACAAGTGATGACATTGTGATAATACGGATAAGTTTGGTTGTTATACGATACTATTAACACCGTTTGTTATTATTGTACACCTTAACTTAGTCGGTTAACGGTCATTGAAAGGGTTATTTTAGTGTCACTGTGATTTTCTTCGAAAAATTGTATATTTATTGCTTGTGTAAGATTTTTTGGAATAATATGCATAAAAAACCACTTTTTATTTTAGATTATTTTAATAAATTCGTAAAATACATAACATTGTTCGTTCCATTCGTTCACGAAAATTGTCTTTGGACTCGAACTTTGCGTGCGCGTCCGAAAATGATATAGAGTAGGGTCAGACACGAAACTTCGTTTAAATTTCGTTCGTTAACGAAGTTTCGTTTCGGAGAAAGAGAGTAGGCCTCCTGACCCGGTCAATGTGTATGTGTGCGAGCGTCGTCTCGCTTGTGTCAGTTGCGTCGCTTGTCTAATATGATCTACGCAATAACAACCTTTATAGTAAAAAGGAATAAAAGTGAATAGGATGTAAAGAGGACAAATAACGACTCCAAAGCATAATCTAATTACATCACATCTAATTAATAATATAAAACTAATAATATTTGTTTTACTCTTAAAAATCGGACTCAACCGTGAATTTTTTTTTTTAATTAGATAGGGTGTCAAACGAGCACACAGTCCACCGGATGGTAAGTGGTTACTGTGACCCATAGACATCTACATCTATCCTCAATAAAGACTCAAGATGCAGATGCGTTGTCACCCGTGAGGACTAAGATGGAATGCCTCTTTGCCAGTAAAAAGGGTCTCCGGTTCCCTACACTCACCTTACGGAACACAGCAGCATTAAGCTGCTATTTTACGCTGGTATTCTGTGAGAGCGTGGTCCTTCCCCGGTCGAACCGACCCATTAGTGCTACAACTATACTACTAATATAGCTGCAGCATGGCTCTACCACGTACAAAGAAAATAACTTTAACATGAAGATTCACACTTGCAACATTTTCAACAACGAAATTCCAAATTGTAACTGCTCTGCCATTACGAAAGTATCTTCAACAAAGTATGAACACATTCATATAATAACTTGTAGATTTAGAAAATTAACCTGGACTTTTAAAACGCTTAGACATATTACTTCAGATACTATCATTAACAAAATTTAGATAGCACTAGCTCAAGTTATCAACAAACTTACTGCCTTCCGATAATTGGTGAAGCAACAAAAACAAGATAATTACAATCAGAAAGAGCTCAGCGTGCCTTACTAACGACAATGTACTTTATGCCTTATAAATTTCTAACTTAGAGTCTATATATTAAATCTGGTGTACAAAGTATAAGAAAATTATATTATGTTTTACACACAATATTAAAAAAGCATAAAGGTTTGTTTTCTGACCCAAATATTTTATACAAAAGAAGAAAAGAAATTTTCCCTAACTCATATTGTGTGTGTTATAACTGCATTCGCTATACGTCATTTCATTAACCAATCAATCTGTCTGTACAATGTCGTCAACAAAAAGATTAATATTTATTGTAGAAATACCTAGGACTGCAAGTTATTGTTATTGATTATAAATTGGCTAAAAACCCTGTCTTACGAAAGCACAGAAAAACATATAAGTTTCAAACACATAAGATTCCATCCTTCATAAAGAAATGTATTTTACACACGCACGCACACACACGCACGCATACATTTCTGAATTATTTTAAATATATTTTTATCATAAATGTAATCTTGTTTCTAAAACGTTTTGTATCGCTATGGAAGAGCGGGAGTCTCTGACACAAGTGCGTTAAGGTACTTACAAGACGCCCCCTACCTTATGCAAATTATTAAATGCTTAACGAAATAAAAATATTACTATTATTATTATCACGTATAACCTGATTGATTGATTTGATTCTCATCATTAGCATACGTCGAAAGTACCATTTATGGCGTGTCTTAGTTTGTAACGATTTCAAAGGAAACGACGCGACTCGCTTATGATCGAACACTTATAAATTAACATGGAACTTGTTACCTATCAATTCATATACATACATAAACACTCACGCCTGTCACCCAGAGGGATAGGCAGCGACTACGGACTTCCATTTGCCACGATCCTGACACACCTCTCTCGCCTTCTTTACATCCATATACCTAGGCATACATGATCGTAGGTTAAGGGTACCTACTCCTAATCTGGCCCATTTTCAATATATCGCCAATTGGGTCGATAAACTTTCGTCTAGAGCGTCCCTTCCCGAATCTGCCGTTCACATCTGCAACATAGATTTGCTATGTCACTCTTTCCTCGTTCATTCTTTCTACATGACCAAACCACCGAAGCATTCATTTCCTAACCCTGGTTACAACATCATCTTGCAAAACACACTTTTCTCTTATCACACAATTTCTCACCCTATCATTCAGAATCAGTTGTACCTACTTTTTTTTAATAGGATAAGGGTGACAAACGTGCACACAGTCCACCTGATGGTAAGTGGTTGCTGCGGCCCATAGACATCTACATCTATCCTTTATTACAAATCAAAATGTAGATGCGTTGTCACCCGTGAGGACTAAGATGGAATGCCTCATTTCCAGTAAAAAGGGCCTCCGGCCACCTGCACTCACCAAGCGAAACGCAGAGGTAAACCTCTACTTCACGCTGGTATTCTGTGAGGTCGTGGTACCACCCCGGTTCGAGCCGGCCCATCCGTGCGACAGCAAAAGCTGCCGCGTGGCTCTACCACTGTTAGAATACTACCTACTAATTCTAAAAAAAAAATATTGTGTGATTGATGGCGGAATACAAACACATTCATAAGACTTTTATATATAAAATCTGCTTAATAATCCTTGTAACATTGCCAAGGTTAGTCGACTCCAGTGTTCCCAAACTAAAAATAATGTTTATAACGCGGTCATATTTGTTACATGAACGCGTTAGAGTTCAGTTTGTACACCGTTACGGTTACAGCCAATTATAAGTCCATTGTTGAACATAGTTCATCCCCATAGATTGCCTCCTTCTTTCTAGAAAAAGTCTTTCATATGTTGGGTCTCTACACCCAACATACGAAACACAGCAGCATTAAGCTGCTATTTGACGCTGGTAGTCTGTGAGTAGATGTTAATATGGTTTGTATAACGTATGTTTGTATAAATTAAGTACTATGCTATAAGGAAAACACCCAAACTTTAATTATGTCTCAGAGGACGGTTAAGATCAATATGCAATATTAATCATAGCAATATCTATTCATTTATAAAAATAATCTCCTTTCCTAATATAATATGATTGTGACTGAACTAGATGAAATTTATTATTACGTTTAGGCTATGTACATAAGAGAGCGCGAAGCAGCGTGTTACTGCGTGGTTGGAGTATTCACATGACATGACGGCATATGCACGCGCGGCAGTCTGGCATCAACATTGCTTGAGAATTGACGTGGCAATATGCTTATGGATTTTATATCGAAGGCTGAGACGTCGCAGAAGACAAAGACGATACTGGATGCATCCTATTTTAAGTGAAAGATTTTCTCCAAGCCTGTTTGCCACTTTATATCCCAACCTGAGACTACATGAAGATTTTTTTTAACTATTTCAGGATGTCGGTTGCATCCTTTGAATTTTATTGATTTTTGATACGATTTCGTCTTCGCTACTCATTTTTCCTGCATCTATGCGTCTGTCCGTCTCAACTCGCGGTTCGTAGAACTCGAACCGCGCGGAACCCCGCGGTGACTTGCGGTTCAAAATCTTGCGCGCGGGATGGAGCGCGTCGCGCATTGCCGCGCGGTAACCGCGCGGTGATGTAGACGATAATCGCCATTTTTTTTTATCTTGTACCGCGTCGGCGTGTTCATATAAACTTAGCCTTAATCTCAAGCCGCCGCGTCGCAAAATGCAATTAAATTCAACTTAAATAATATTAACTAAACATCACAAAGTAAAGGATATTATAACGTGCAAATTATAAATAAATAGAAATGTTGATACATAACAGAACATGTAATTTAACTTATAGATTAATATAATAGAAAATAAATACCTTTCCTTATCTGGAAAGAAGAGGAGCGTTAAGTCATTTAAAAGCTGAACCAGTTAGTTATGTATCACGTAGGTCAGTACATCTATAGCGCTTTACACTATCATCATCATTATTGAGATCGCCTCATTTATAGGACTATCGCGCATTAAGGAGATAAAAAAATACAGCATTCATCTTGATTCTAGATAGAATTAAAGTTTACGTGCGTTGACACCACTGTTAGCTGTTTGAGCTTTCTTAAAATTATTAACAAAATCATAGTATCATTAAATTAACCAGGTGAAAGAAAGAAAGAACTATTTATTTGATATACACATTTTACACACATTAAAATATATTATATACAAAAGCAAGGGGGAAAAGAATGCATGTACCAGTCTAACACTGTTTACGCATTTACAATTGAGAAGCAGTAAAATGTGACATCAAATAGGTCTCCAACTCAGCATAATGCTGCAAATACAGCGCTGGTTTTCAGTTGGAGCCTTGTGACTTCACAGACAAGTCGGTGTGTGATCTTCCAACTAAGAGTTATATACGAGTTCATAGTTATCTATTAACAAAATTACGAGTTAAAA